ATCGCCTGATATCACCCTGCGTTCATTTGTCTTAGGCACAGGTCACAAGGTACACGTTTGACCTTGAACACTCAATTCACGTGGAGAGCCTTCTACTGGACTAGGCGAAGTGCTGTTCACATTTTACTCATCAAACCTTCACTGAAGGTCAAAACCGTGATTACCTTAGCGCGCTCTCTAACGACTTTGCGTAAAACTTGTATGCACTTCTCCATTTGAAACCAAAATTAGACTTTAATAGTATGCTTTTAAAGATTATATTTTAGCAGGAACAACAGACCTTGAATAATTGTCATTACGATTATTAGTGCATTCTTGAGAAAGATCTAAAATAAATGTGGGTACTGTGAACTTTGAGAACGCTCTGGAAAGTACAAATTGCACGCCATTACACATTCCCTGCCATGTGAGCTTTAAAGGTGATTTAATGGTGCCTTAAATCACATTTCACCACATGCTTTTTTCATCTTGAGAGCTGAGAGGTAACTCTGACAGCGATCCATACATCATCACATCAAGAACTTTTACCAGTCCTCCTTAATACAACCTTCATTTTTCACCTGCCATGCAATATTTACGCAACTGAAGGCTTCCACGATTTCGACCGTGCTAATTTAGGTGCCGAATCTAACCCCCAAAAAGGCTTATTTGAAGGTTTTTTGGGTTAAGGGAAACATTTTAATTTCACACACCTAAAGCAGACGCCAAAACCTGATTTTTTGCGAAAATTTTATCACAAGATTGTTAGCTTTTGTGCCTAGCCCGCATGCTGGACAGAATAACTGGCACATGCGTTTCACATCAGCGTTGAGTCACTTAAAAAGGGCAAAAACAGGATTTCTTTTCCCGGTTTTCTGTATTCATTTCTAAAATAGGTAACTTTTCGCAATTGTGGTCCCGAGTATTAGTTGGCTACCGCTGTCTTGGTAAATTTAAATAGCTTCCCACCTTTGTTTTACTTTTATTCCTCTTCAAGTAATGCATGACAAAGGTTAATCAGTGCCAACCTTATCACGGTCAATTGAAAACTACCACAAGTGCAAAAGCTAGCATTCCCTAAAGGCTAAGCAATTTTTTTCCTTTTGTCGCGATTTAGCTGTTGTGGGAACAATCACCTGATTCGAAAGTAGTTTCTTCCCATTTGAAATACCGTCAAATAATTTGGGACTCATAAATGGGAAATTTTTATGATTCGCCTTTAGCAAGAGGTAAGAAGAAGGAAAGAGTAAAATTTTTTACAGTTTCGTCGTTCAGATAAATGTAGTAATTTACAGTCTTATAAAGAGATGCTGGTACGAGGATCTCCGGTAGAGAGGTTATAAACTCCTTCAATTTCTTAAGCTTCTACCATCATTGAGACCTACTTCGTAGTCTTTGATCTGAAAATGCCACTGCAAGCAATGTAACCGATGTTAAGACTGCTGGAAAACATTTTGAATGCACAGGAGGGTGTCAAAATGAGAGCCCAATCACGCAGGCGTCGCGGTACCCATTGAAGAGGGCAGCATAATTACGTAAGATACAGTAACCCAGATTTAGTTGCACTAATAGGAAAATCACTAGCAACCGTTTGCTTAAAATGATCATGAAATGATGGTAATTTCATTGCAACTGATGTTGTTCTGTGCTGATCACATACAGGTTGTCAAGATGAGAATTCAGGAAACAGTTACCTCAACGGCCAGTCGTGGATGTCAAGTGATCGCTCCTGCGCCAAGTGCTATTGCATTAACGGCACCGCGGACTGTGAAAACAGCGTCCTTCACTGTCAGTCCTCCTGCTTACCCGGTCAAAAACTTGTAGGCACCGGGCCCTGCTGCGAGCACAAGTGTGTCGGCGAACGTAAGTCCTTGATCCTCCCCTTACTTACACCTGTCAAGCGAGGTATTTTTGATAGGTGGATTCGATATCTTTGTCAGAATCTAAATTGTTGCCGCTTCTCGAAGCGAAAGAGGAATCAAACTGTAGAACAGCAATCGTACAGCTAAGAAAAGCTCCCACTTACAGCAATATGGGTTTAATGCAGGAGTTGAAACTCGTTCCTCAGTTGAAATTGCATAAAACCAATGAGCAGGAATCTCTTCATTGCAAATCAACCTTCAGAAGCACTGCAAATGTCCTTGGTGGTTTAACTTAATTGACATTTATCCCATGCCCACCTTCGCGCACAAGGGGAAGTTGATGACTGCTTTATTAGATTACAACTTGACACACCAATCATAGACGCAAGGGAGTTCAAGTTACGCATTATTTGCGATTGCACAAACGCTGGTTCGACTCAACAAACCTTTCTACATAGGACATTGATCATGAGACAATGTCGGAAGCAAAGGAGAAAAAGAGCGCGCCAATGGTAGACGCTAGCATGGTGACCCATGATTTTAAAAGTAAACATCCTAGCGCTCAATCTTCCGCGACTTTGTCTGATAAATTTGTAATAGGCTTTGCAACAACAACAGGGTCTTAAGTATGTAAGAAAAGTGCATAATTACATATAAACAACAGTTTTGAGAAACCACCTCGCCCACTGAGCAGTTATTATGATAGCAAATTAAAAACGCTGGAATGATTATTAATTTGGGTCACAAGCGTGCTAGGAAGGTCATTTATTCACTCATAGTGGTGAAATTTTGCTTGAGCGACTAATGTTAATGTAAATGAAGTTCTGTGATTTGTGTGTAAAATCCTAGGCGTTAAAAATGCTTTTTGACAGGATCGCTTGAAGTCCATAATTTTCAATGGTTGCTTAACTTTTTCACACAACTCTAGGCGTACGAGGGGTCAAGCAAATGCCCAATCGACTAGTGCAGTAGAGGATGAGCAGGCATCGCTCTTCATTGTCGTAGGTATGCGGTGTGGCCGTCCACGGAGGTTGAGGCGGATGGAATGAAGAGTAATGAGCAACTAGGTATTGGAGTTGACGTCATTTTAGAAAACCAGATGTAGGGAAGTTGGTTTTAAGTTTCCTTTTGCCTAACTAAAGGTGTGTTAAGAGTGGGATGGAAGTGTGGTAGCGTCCACCGTGATTGAAACCATCACCACGTCCGTGTGCTTTCGGCGCTGACATTATCCACATGAAGAAGGCACTTCGACGAGTCACTGGCGGCGTCATTACAATGCAATCCACACAACTGCCTGCAGTACCTCCACAAGCAAAACAAAGTCTTTAGCAAACTAGCTGTTAAGCGTTGACAAATTTAAGTTCAAACATCTAATCAACGGAATTACATTGGCAAAATAAACGAGCGTTGTCACTGTCACAGTGAAATCCTCGATGAAGCTTCCTTAATTAACTTCACAACCTGTCAATATGTCCTGTTGAAAGAAGTTGTTTATTCAAGTCCTTGGATGAGCGTGTGAACTTGGTGACTGTACAACCTTGAGTTTACTCTTAAAATTGAAGTGGCCAAGACACTTCATAAAATCCGCTGAAATGGGCAGTTATTAGGGTTTTTCAATGCCATCCAAAAGAGGTACTCTTCCTGGAAGCGAAGATCCAAGACAGCAACAGTTGTTTGCACTTTCCACTAAAGGAAATGCCGTATGAGGTTGAATGAGAAGTCAAGTAAACCATTTCATCACGGCTTTAAGGATGAAGTTGAAAGGCGACCTTGTGTCTGCAAAGAAGAGTAGGTGACTTTGTTGGATTGAGATTGACAAACAAAATTTAAAAGCAAAAATTTCAGTTGAATAGTTTAGTTAGAAGACAAATTATCATGATACGATTGGCATCGTTCTTGCTTTGTGAAAAGCAGCCATTCTTTGCGTGGCTAATGCTCAAATCACTGCCATGCACGTTCTTCGGTCTACTTGCTTGGAATTCCGCACTAGCATTCCATACGAATGGTCAATCACCCTCCTTCCCACAGCATTGGCACGACGTCAGGAAAGTGGTTTGTTTGCGCCTCACGAGAACAGTGCGAATGCTAATGCCTCATTTCAACGTTCGTAAGTTAGTTGAGAACGGTCCATAAACGCCAGGGCACAATGGCCCAGGGAATAACCACGGTGGTTTAACGCTTATACCAAATCACTCATTGTTGACCTTCCTTATTTGTTTCAAGTAATGCAAACTATGCATCCCCTCTAAAAACGAAGATGCCTAAAGAAACTCCTCAGCAGCCCATTTTACCTGGGTTATTAATCCTTCATTTGGGTTTGCTGATTGCTGCACGCCTTGTCTCGCACGATAAGCGAATAATGGCAATCATTGAGATCACTTCCATCTTTTGTGCCTCTCACATCGTGCATTTCAGTGCCCTCAGCGAATGTCTTACCCATTTGCTTCCTTGACACAGACTAAGAAGCAATGCTTGTTGTCATAATAAGTGAGTCAATTTCTAGCAACATTTCAAACGCAAATGAAATGCAAAGTCGAAGTGCACCATAGCGGCTATTACGACATCGGAATTTGCATTAGTTAGACAGTGAATCGCCCAAACGAAATAGTTGCATTGTTAAAATAAATCAAAACATAATTTGAAATGGGAAATTGGTCAGGTTGCTGTTTTTCCACTTAAGTCCAGAATTTTTTGGCAATATGAGTTTTTTTAGAAAACTTCTTTCCATAAAGTGCACAAAATTTGCACTATTTTTATGATCTACGCAGAACTTTGTGAAAATTTGCTCAATGGAATGGAAGACGTGGAAGGTGTAAACTATAAATAAAATAGGCCGCCATAAAAGATGGGAACTCACCGACGTGGTGTAGATCGTGAGGAGGTGGTTACAATTGCAAAATGAGTTGCTAGACATGTTGTGCAAACGAACCAACATTTTGCAATCGTTTTAGTAAAATAACATAAATCTAAGGAGCCTTTGCATTAGTTAGCTGCAAAAAATTCATGAATAGTAACTATTACACTTAGTGCCAAGTATATGTAAATCGAATTGGAAGGCAATGGTGCTGGACTTCAATGTTACTACATCGTAAAGCTGTCACGCTTTCAGCCATGGTCTCAAGGACAGGAGTGTCATCGGCAGCGCCCTGCATAGCACCGATGGGACGGCATGGTGAGGTGGTGTTTCGGCAGCAACAGTGTGTTGATCAACGGTGCCAGTGCATCAATGGTAACTGGTTCTGCATAGACACTTGCACGCCTCTGGAGGAACTCAAGTGCCCTCCCGATGAGCGCATCTTCTGGGACCCCTTCTGCTGTCCTCGGTGTAAAGGTAATGGCTTCGTTGCTCCACGGTTTTGCCAAGGAAGCATTTAGCTGTCATCTAGGTAATGCAAAATTAACTCCACCCAATCTCTTTCGGCATTGGAGTTTGGGAGGAAAATTGAGCTCCTCTGACACACCCCCACACGCACAAATAGGCCTACTTAAAGTTATTTTGACCAGAGGTTAAAAGTGTTCCTAATTCAGATAGTCTCAACAGCCTGCAATATCAAAATGTAATCAGAGTTTTGTGACATCATCTGGCAAAAAAGACTACTAGAATTGAATATAAAACACGCCATGTGTGTGCGATGCCATCTTTTGGGGTCATTTATTTATACGTCAACATTGCAAATTTTCGCGAAGTAATCTACCCTTAAAGGCAACTTTTGCCCGCTCCAAGGGAACCCAGTAAACACTTTTTCTTGCAACAGATCGTTGTGCCAGATACCCTCGTTGACTTTATCGCCGTTCCCTTAGAGAGATGTTTAACATAAACAAAATAAGTGCCTTTTTATTGCTTCCCCGTCTACTTGAGATCGGCTTATCGGGTCGTAAACTCAGAGAAACCTCGTTTTGCCGTCTGCATCGAAGTGATGCTGCAGGGTACTAATAAGGATTGCATGTTTACATACCGGGAAAGCACTTTTAATGGACATTCGTAAAATACTTGCAAAATTCAAATTGCATCCAAAAGCTTAATTATGTTGGTGAAAAGGAGGGAGGACAGCAGTATGAGTAGGCCAGTAGCAATCTAAATTAATTGTAAATGCAAAACGAGGCGTCATGAAACACTTGCAACGTTCATTTCAAAGGACCTTCAACTGTCTGGTTAAGCAGCTAAAATCCGCCCTTCTGAAAGCAGACCGACGGCGCCTGTCAACTTATAAACAAATATCATAATAAACTTATTAATTTTTTGTTTCCTTCCCTGTCTGTGGTGGCTACGATGAGTGTGGAAAACAAGCCAAAGTTAATAGCATGTGGCTTTGAGACTTCTCTGCTGACGGGAGACTGCTGACGTAGTCCGGAGGAGAAGCGTTTAGAATTGATCAAAACCGTTCACCATGGCCGTGCGACCATTTGCTTAAAATATTCTACTTCAGAGAGGCACGACATGAAAGAGACATTTTAACTTAACAGCATAATTGAATCGAAGCAACGGGGCCCATAGGCACAGGAAATGTTTGAGTTAAGTTTTCGCTTCCATCATTTTAAAGTCACAACACGAAGAAGGAAGCTGTTGACTTCTTAAGTGAAAGCTTCAGCTTTGGCATGTGTCACATTGTTAGGAGCTTGTAAAGCTCTTGAGCGCCTAAAAGGCTTCATTTGAGTGTTGTAGGCCCGCTGTTGCGTTTCTTCCAAGTGTGTACTTTAAGCCATGGTGTAAATTGAGCCTTCAACAGCGGTGCGTGGCTTCTTGTATGAACCCGCATGGCATGTCAACGCCCATGAGGCGGAGCTTGGCTATGACTCTGGACCGCCCTTGTGGCCCATGCGAGCTCAGACCACTTTCATTTAAACTATCTGCATTTTACACAGCTTGTAAGGCCTTTAAATGGTAACGGTAGTTTATTGCAAAAGGTTTTATGTTTGTGAGTCGTGCAGTGGCGTCCACACAATGCTACTTTTTACACAATCACGCTGACAAGATTGCAGCGACTGTCTCGAGGCAGGTGACGGTGACATCTGTCAACTTCTGCCTATTTCAGTCTATTTTCTGCTTGGCTCGAAGTGGCCAAAAAGAAAGTCTTTGTGATCTTGTCGTTTTCGCTTAAAGACGCATTTGCTTGGCGGTCGTATTACTTCCTCTCAATCAAACAAATGCTTTCGAAACTGTTTATGGTGTGTTTGTAAATTATCATAGAGCGTATTGTCCTTACGGAATGCCTGTTTGTGCCATTTTTTGGAACCACCAACTCTGATATCCGACGATGCTTCAGTTGGCTTGAGCAACAGTTTTTGGGCGAAATGCAATGCGAAGGATCCCAGCGTGTGAGCGATACCCTGAAGCACACCATCGAAATGGGGACTGAATGGGTGCCTTGCTGTTTGGAATAAAGCAAAAGGTTGCTAATCAAGTTGTTTATTTTCTGGAATTTCAATCTTTTTAAGCTTAAAGTTCTCTTTATCAAGGAGCACCTTTGAATGATCGGAAAATTTTGACTTTGATATCAGATGGGAAAACACTGTAGCGCACGATGTTTCGATGTTAATTTCGACACTTGTAAAGCTTACACTTTGTCTTAATTTGCACTAAGCTTCTTGATAAAGCAGCTCTGATTTGGCGCAGTTGGGAAGGCAATCCGCGCATCGCTACTACATCTCCTTCCTTGTCTGATTGTTGATGGGCGAATGTGATGAACGGGTAATGCAAGTTCTTCTTCTTTTGTAAAGTCATTTTTTTTGCAAAAGGAGCCATAACCTTTGAAACTATATGAAGCCATAGAGGTGAGCTCTTTGTGGCTGAAATGACTACATTAAGCAGTGTTGAATTACCTTTCGACGCTCATTGCGGGGATAACACTTGACGTGACCACTAAAGTGAAGGTTTACTCTCTGTTTGATGCAATACAGGTTGGTGCAAGTTGTGTTGACCTTTCCTGAACGCGCATCGTCAACGCCACTTCATTGAGGTAGAGAGACAGCCCCCTCATCATGACTGCTGAACATTTCAACTGATTACGCACTCTTTCAACTTAACATAAATGGAGCAAGAACGGAAAATGTTTTCTCAATGCGTCACTAGTAGAGCCATGGTTGACTTTCTGAGACCTGACCTGACCTGAATTAAAGGGGTTTAGCAGATGTCTGCATTATTTTTATGGTTCCTCCAAGTCACCTCGCAGTGTCAACGCCCACCCATGTGTCAGAGGTGGTGGCAAGCTGTGGCTCTTGCATACTTTGATCTGTCCTCCTCGCACACGGATTGTACAATGCCATAACTTATTCATTAGATTTATGGGCTCTCAACTCAAGCCCAGCAAAAACTGCACAAAGTTTCACCTCTTAAATAAGCAATGGAGGAGGAAGTGCAATAAACTTCAACATTCACTTTAATGATGCGGATTAAATTCGTGATGCACAAATGCTTTAGTCGTACATTAAGTGGTCGAATGGGTGCTTCCATGGTTGATTCGGGATCAGGCAGGGGAGACAACGTTCTCAATGATGTTCATCAATGTTGCTCTCCTTTTCAAACAATTACGTCGATATGTTTTGTGCTTGTTGCAGACACTAAAACCTTCTCTTCTTATAAAAAAGGATGCTCCTTACGTGTCTGCGCTCAAAAGAATCATAAGCACGTGGTTTAAGGCGCGAGAATCACAGACTTTGCCTACTACTTCTACGTCCTTGTTTAAACTGATTTCACTCTTTCATTCAAAAAAAAAAGAGAGTTTGGAGCTCAGACTCTTTTATAGTTCCTCAGCCAGGACGGTACATCCGCTTCTATCTACTCATTTTAATAGAGTTTCAACGTTTGGTGGGGTCAGTGTTGTTTAAATGCAAAATCTAACAGCACGTAAATTAGTGTTATGCGGAGCTGCAAGAGGATAGGCGAGACGACGTAACTTTGTTAGGAGAATTTGAACCTTCCTGCGCGCAGTAATTCAGCTTGGGGGAGAAAATTGATGTGCCAATGGGATGACTGCTACTGAAGTAAATGGGAACCTGAATTTGGAATGTGTCCTACTTCTCGCAGTAAATGTTCATGTGAAATCTGAAGAGACGTGTGCGATGTTCATTAAGTCAAATGCCTTCTTCAAACAACTAGGTGGAGAATTCAATTAGGGAAGCCGAAACCATTTGCAGACTTTTTCCATACCCAGAAACTTTCTCAGGGATCGCATTATGACATCTTCTGGCACGCAAATCCAAAGACGTGTTGACTACGTTGAGTATGCCTGGAGGGACTAATTCACGAGGTCACACAATTAAATTTCGTTGAAGGCAATAAGGATGCAGCTCATGTTTCTAGTGTAGGCGCAGTTACTGTCATGAGTGGAAACGGTTGATTGTGGTAAATGAAGATGACCTCGTTCAAAGTCAAACCAACTACTCATGTTGGTGACCAGTGTCCGAGAGTGGAGCTTTACGTTGAAAGGTCACACTCTATACCTCCTTCCTTGGTCTTCTTTCATCATGTAAATTTTTTATTACATAACTTCGGTGCAACTCTGTGCTATAACCTGGTGAGGAATTATGTTGCATGCTTGGGATGCCGGGCTACGATGGGGAAATAGGGAAGTCGCGTGTATCAAGGTGGCAGCGTAGGTGATAAAATCTCGACTCGGTAAATTAGGAAGAACACTAAACAACGCCATGTAAACACTGAACTGGAATGCGATTGTAGCTCGCTAAAACTTCCACTAAAAACCTTCAAAGGAGTTTTTTATAACCAAGTGGCTATAGGACCACTTTTTTCGTGGCCTCCGTGCTCCGATACCGGCGTGGTGTTAACTTCTGCCGCTTTTTGAAAATATTGACGGCCTTTACCCAAAACCTCTAAAAAGGTTCAAATGTAAAGCTGTCAGAAGGAGGAGGAGGAGGAGGAGGAAGAGGAGAGACCTGCCCTTAAAAAAAGAGGTATCACCATGGTCCCTGTCAGATGGGATGGTCATAGCTGAACACAACTTCATAAAAATAGTGTCATTTGCACTTTCCACAAAACGCCTATTGACAACAAGCTAAGAAGGAAATAGGGGACCATCTTGAAAGGCATAGGACCTCAGCAACACCTTTTCGAACAAATGGTGACATTTTAAAGTGTAGGGGTGGATAGACCATTTAAAAGAATATCCACTAGCAGCATTCCGGAGATAATGCTTGAATTTGAAGCCTATTATAACCCTCCCAATCCTTTTACTTTCAGTTCTTCATTTGGCTCCTCGCCACCGACATTTCTACTAACACTTCTTAAGGCTAAGATAATACAGATGCAGTTGTGGCCGCCACTTTGGTTGAATCTAATCGTAACCATTCATTGCCATTTAATTCGGATTTTGTAGAAACTGAAGTAATCTTGCCTTTGGACGAAACGTTCTTCTTCCTGTTTTTGCTTTGTCACTTCTATTGCATAAAGGATCGCATGACACTAGAGTTGTTATTTCAAGTCTACTATTTAGCCATTGAAGTGGCAGTCTGAGGATCGGCAAGGTTTTTGTCCAGTTGGTATCCTATTTTCGACCATCGACTTCTAAAGTTTCTAGGTTTCGTTTACGCCGAACTTTAATGCATTTAAAGGAGTCTACTAACTTTGCCTCGTAGCTGACACTGCCTTTACAATTTTTGGCATCTACAAGGCTGGTACGAGAGGGTGTAGTCAACACCCAGTCGGGCGGAATTTCGGGTCATCAGAAAGCGTGCGACTGGAAAGCCGCGGCCTGGTTTCAGTGCTTAAGGGGATGCCTCGACGATCTCTCCAATAATGCAAACTAATGATTCGACAGCACTACACTAGCTTTCCAGTTGCTTTGGTTATGAAGCTTAATTCGGCAAATGAGACCCCAACCACTCCCTCCTCGTAAACAACCCTATTTTGGTGCACTTCTTACAAACTCAAAATTATTTGCTTCCAGCATTCAGGCTTATGAAATTGGAATTAGCAAAAAAGATGAATTTAGTCAAGATGGGAGGCTTAGGCGGAGCAGGCTGGTGGATCCTACTTAGCACCATGGGTTAGTGTACGCAGCCGAAATGATGGATCAGTATCAAAAGCCCGGCCAGCACTACTACAGTCTCATCGAAGACGAAAATTGCGCTTCCAACTGAATGGAAAGCCATTTAGACTTCTGTTTAACAAATAAATGCTACTCCACATCTGAAAACTCAGATACAACACGGTTTACTAGCTTAAATTAATTTTATGACCAATTGTTCACGAAAGCATGGCGATCGAATCCGTATCGCATACCTGCAGTCTTCTTATCAATTCCATTTTCAGAGGGATGAAGTCGCAGGGAGTTCTACAAACAAAAAAATCAACGAATATACAAGATTCCGAGAATAAACTGAAGTTGAGACTGTAAATGTAAAAAATTCGCACAAAAAGTATTTCATCTATAAGCAACGGGCCTGCAATCCAGGGTGTCAACCAGAGGTTTGTCTATGTCGCAAGGTGTGGATACTAGTACAATCACTATGAAAGGTTTTTGTTATACGAAATCCTTTGAATCGACGCTTTATGTTGAAAATTTTAACTTAGGGAGGGTGATATGGGTTTGTTGTACTTTAATTTTCTCTTCAAAGTGTCAATGTTATTCGCCTGTAGCATGAGATAAAAAGGTTGCAAGACATTAGTTTGACTGTGAAAGTTATTTGAATCTTGCTGTATTTGCAGGGACAAAGAAGTGCTCTGTGACGGTGGCAACAATCAACTGGTTGGAGGAGGCGCCGATGCACAAGGACCTATCAAGCTTTGTCAGTGTCTTCACACCGGAAGGCGAGAAGGAAGTGCTAGACGAGGCATCATTGATGAATTCGCAGACGGCGAGAATTGAGGAGGGGGAGGAGGAGGGAGCTGAAAAGACCTCCCTAATAACTGTGGATCCAGGTCAACACCTTGTCACTCACGCCGGCCGCTGCGTCTGCACTGATGGTGAACTTAGATGTTCTCGACCCGGTGAGCTGCAAACTCTACAACTGGAAAAGTTATGAGCTTATGACATGAATAAGCTTAATTCAAAAATTTGATGCAATCCAAAACTTTATTTTTGACTCTATCTATCTTTGAGAATTTTGAGGCACCTTTTATTTGGAAGACTGAGAATGATGCTTTCATCGCTTCAGTGACAACTCCAAACATTATCACCAAGAAATTCGAAAGAAATAAGCTCTGTATTGCGTTTGTTTGGGAAAAACAAGTGTGATAGAATAATGATTGTTGTTGAGAAGTCATTAGCGCTAGAGTTTGGTATGTTCGAAGACACTGCAGGACAAGGATGATCTGAGGAGCCAGGCAGATAAATGGATGTACCGGCCATTTTTCATGACCGTCATGGTCTGTCAAGGTGAGGTCGAACCAGTGAGTCACCGTCTTTGCAGTATCATTTCTCTGAAAAAGAATTCCCACAAGCCCGGACACCGAGGCAGGTGCTGCACAGTTTTTGAGATCGGTCCAACGATCTTCTCCCATGAATTTATGATGTAGTGTTTACTTCGTCTATCACAATCCGTCTTGATGGACATTGATGTTTTTGACACAAACATCATTCAGTCCTTGTGAGCAATTGAAGTCACTTACTTCGGCAGAATGCGTAAAGGCTGAAGTCTGAATTTACTAGAGCGCATTCACTTTGGTTTTCGTAACATCGGCAAAAACTGGCCAATAATTTTCGCAAAAGACACTTTTCAAATATCTGTCCCTTGGATTGTCTGATGCTAATAAGCAATGTTTAAGGAAGTTTTAGCAAGTTTACTTGGTTAAAGTGGATCATTCTTTCTGAATAAATATTTATGGTAACAAATACCTCTTTACACTTTATTTGGCAAGATGTAACAAGTAACTAAAGTAAAACCGTCCAAATTTGCTTGTCCTCCCAAATATCTGCTCGGAGAAGTGTAGTTAAAGTAGCCCCCTGGTGCCACTCTAGTGGAGGCCACTAATTCACTATCTGAGCTTAATCAACTTAGTGAGGCCCTCAACACGCACTTTGAAAACGGATCCGCTAACTCCGAGGACCTGGTTCGTGAGTAATTGAATGAACTTCATTTTAATGCCCTCATTTGCCGTGTGCTTGAATGCACTTACTGCCTCAACAATCACAATGGAAGTTAAGTTTGGTTCACCCTTTAATGCACGCCTATTAGCGCTTTCGATGGTGGTCTGCCACAAAGTAAAGGTGACTCGATGTCAAAGGCTTGGTAAGGATTAGAGGCCACCCATATGCAATTCAAAATGGAGATAACTCATTATGTATTTCCTAAAACAATGAAATCAAGAGCATCAAGAGCATATTACGAAGTTCCAAGTTGACCCACTCTTTTGTCCATCCAATTTGTATGCCTTAAAGTCTTTTGCCCAGTCAGGTCATCGCTCAGTCATCTAGCTAAGCGCAATTTATAAAGATCCGCAACAAATTATGAGCTTTAGAAGCAGACGGGTGGCTAAGTATTGCGTTGCTTCTGTCTAAAATGCACCACTTTGCTGCTTATGGCACACTGCGATTGTATTTGAAACTACTCCAGTATCTAGATGAAGCAAGACATTCTGTCAAGGAAACAATTATGAACTTGAACGTAGTAGAAGAACTTCTAGCACCACTGGGAAAGTGTCACAATTTATCGGTAACTGGGGTATGTGACAGATTGAAATCGCTCCCGGCGCCTCTCGGCCTTACCCCTTCTCAGGAGCGCCTCTTCTGACCCCTCAACTTTTAGTCTCTGGCACATGGTCCAGTACTGTTGCTTACACTTAGTGGCATCTTGATGAATTTAATTGTAGGAATAAAAAATGAATAACAAGGAAGACATTAGCATTTCTTTGTTGTGAGTTTCCATTTCCTCTCAACTAGCTGCGTTCTCTTACCCTTTTTTCACTCTTGTTCTTAGCTTTAACTCATCTCGGTGGAATCTCCCATTTCCAAGACTCCCCTCTTCTGCGCTTAATGCGTGTCAGAATTGGCAGCAACTTTGTCGCAAAAAATTGCCTCAGCTTTAGGCAGTGACAGGTGTAAGAGGATGCTCCTGGCATGGCGATCGCAGTACTTCCCAGTAACTGAGACTTTTATTGTTTCAGGACGGTCATTATTTCTTTGTGCGGTCGGAGAATTAGGGCACTGCTACTTTGCTTAAAAATTCGCCATAACAGACAAGAAACTCACGGAGGGAACCGACAAAAGAGGTCTGCTAGTTCAACTGATGCTTATTAATGTAAAGCACGCTGCTATGATCGCTTGGTTCTACAAGGTGCGGTGAACTATAGGACTGGTGAATGCGTCGTTATTTGAGCATCATGAAGCACTATAGGTTGAGCGCACTTGCGTGGCTTTGGAAAGGCGAAATAATTCTTAAGTTGAGAAGGTGATATGGTGGTGGTGATATGCGAATCACTAGCAGTACGTTGCTTTTAAACTGAACCAAATATTATAAAAATCGTCAATGATTCTCATCGAGACTGTTTGAAGAGAACTAACACAACTAAGGTCTTTGTGGCAACTCCGCAACTGCAAAATTGAGAACCGCAAACACCTCTCCTGATGCTGTCTTCATTCTCGCAACTTCGCGCCTTTACCTCATCTAATTGTTTTGTCACGACTGGATGCTGCTTGTTCATTGTTTTGAACCAAACATATTTTGATTTAACATACACTCAGAGCAAAATTCCTCAAACTCCACCACTTGCTGTGCCTTCACTGGTAACCCTTGCTTGGTGCTTCCAGGTGTTGTTGTATCGTTAAACGAATTTTGAGCTATCCTGGGACTGAAAGTCTTCTAAAAGGACTATCCCATGGTAATTAGTCCTACAAAAAATGTTTGCCTAGAATGGTTATCAAGAACAATGAAATATAAAATGAAGGAGGACGCATAACCATACCGCTTTTTGTACTGCCCAGTGCAATAGGAGATTTCACACTTGATGACTTTGTGGCAGTCGGGTTAGCCTCGCCTCCCTGAACTCGGTAAGTCAACTAGGAGGAAACAATGAAAAGCGTGTCAAGACATTGCCCATTCTCTTAGCCACTTCCATCTTCCAACTTACACGCGCCAATGTGCTCGGGTAAAGTCTGAAGCAATCCTGCTAAACCTCAATCAGTTGGAAAATTAGACATTCATAAGGGGATCTCAGCAAGGCACGTAAAGACGGTGATGTTAAATGCGTGTATTTAATAGCAGTAAATTTCTATTTTCATTGTTTGGCAAATTGCCATCTTAGTTTCGATTTGGCCAGGAAGACTACCACTCCATGCATACATTATGGAGATGCAGCGAATTTAGAGTTCCTCAATCGTGAACAGGCGTCTTGTCTTAGTGTTGAGCTTCCCCTAATTATCACAGTAAACACCATCCGTATGTACATGCATTTATTGTTGGCACTCGACATGGTGGCGATTGTGGACTTGACAAGAGACCATGTTGGCAAAATGAAAGGCATACACAACAAAGGTCGAAGGATCCACATAGACCAATCGCAATACGTATAAGTCCATATTAGCCGAAATGCAAAAGAATGGAAAGATTATTTGCGTAAATGCCAAAAGACCATTGAGGAGATCCAGAGAGTTAAGCATTGAATCTAATCAACTTACAATTTTGTCGTAAGATGCCAAAAGGAGAGAGCTTGAAATCAACGTAGACGATCAGAAGTGCAAGATTAAATAATAATCGTGAATGTCAGAGAATATTGCTACAATCGTTATTAAAAATTAAGCTTCCTAAGAATATAAAAGTAAATGAAGGCGAGGGGAGAAACAAGGCTGATGAGTCGCTGAGCCAGCATATGTTTGTGTTGCCACAGGCGCTGGAATTTGGCACGACACAGACTGCTACTACTCACATGGCAACAAAGGCCACTACTATGCTAGAGGTGAGCACTGGAAGGCGCACAACGACGAGTGCTCGGATTGCCAATGCCTCGAAGACCGGCAGTACACGTGTGCTCGCACTCCCTGTAGCGCCCTCTTCCTATGCCCCGCCGGCAAGGTCCCTGTTGCCGCACTCGGCGACTGCTGCCCTTCCACTTGCGAGGATGCTACGCTAGGTAGGCTACCACTCAGTCGCGTTGCCATTCCTTTGACAAACCAGTCAACAAGCGCATGCTAGCTGCCGCAGTCTGCTTGGGAAACTGTGATACCCATTACCTGCAAATCTCCAAAAGCAGCGAATAGTTGTAGTAATTGACTCTCCTATTATTACGGTCGACTTAGTCACCTTGATAGCGAAAGCTTATCGAGCAGCATATAGTTATAGGTTTCAGAGGTGACTTCACTACCTAATTCATCGCCGCTTATAAGCTGTAGAGTATTTCAAAGAGGAGAGTTACTTGACTTTTCCATTTCTCATTCATAGTATTAGTAGCGCCTCCTATGGTACAAATAACAAATACGGCGTCTTATATACAAAATTTCTCGTATAAAGCCAAGATACTTTCAATATTTGCAAGAAAATCCATTGAGGATGATTTGGTAGTGAAGACATTTCTTGACCTCGGAGACAGTGCAGGATGAATTATGTATCTACCTTTTCTTAAGAAACCGAACAGGACACAGGTACCCACATGCAGGACACCACAGCTCCATTTCTTCCAAAGTCTTCCATAAAGGCGTCATTTAATTCACTCGAAAAGAGCATTCATTCGCTAATGTTTAAGTAATTGTAAATGCTGTAATTTGAAAGTCAAAATTGATCTGACAGTTAATCCGAATGAGGCCTTCGACCAATCGCTGAACGACCCAGAACAGGCGACCTTAGAAACGGCCCCAGAGGAAAAGACCGTACCTAAATGGCCACAAACAATTTCAAATGCCACAAAGTGCAAACCTCTGGGTGACTTGTCCGCCACCTCTAACAGCGCCTCCAACATCCTCTTGCCAACCGAGAGCCTCGTAATCATCCGTCGCACCTGCGTCAGCCTCAAGTGCGTCTGCTCCTCCGAAGGAAACTGGATTTGTGCAGACTACTGCATTCCCTGTCAAGGCGTGTCTACTCAAGTCACCAACGCAGACGCTAATACACCCAACACCTTCCATCCCGTTCGACCTCGCACCTCCGATGGCTGCTGCCCTAAATGTGATCATAATTTTTACTTAAACAACTTAAGTAGAAATTGTTTTAGCTCGACACAAACCCAATTGTAGGCACCGGATATGACGACAAGGAGCCGTTAGACTTCACTGAACGATACTCCATCGTCATCAGCTGTTTCCTAGCCCCGCTTGCGCTGACCCCCCTCTTCGTGCTGATCGCCTGCTGCATTTGCTTGCGGTATCGTCAGAAACTGAAAAAGTTGCGTGCAACCGAGCTCAATCAAACCAAATTTCATTTGGAGGTCGGACCAACCACACATTCAGTACAATCAAGCCTTGCTGTGCCACTGACAATCTCCACCAACGCTGAAGGTGCATCACCGCCAATTCAATCTGACAAAGAGCCCACAGTGTTTAGAGGAAGAGACAGTATTCACCAGTCGCTTCTATTCAGCTCAAAGCTTAATGAAGTTCCACTTGTTCCAATCAAGTTTTGGCGTCTCAGCGCTTCCTATTCGTGTCTTCCTGATGCCCACCACATTCACACAGACTCCAACAATCCTAATTTTGAAGACAGTACTTTGCAGAAGTCTTTTCTCACCGCAACAACCTCAAGCAGCGATGACACATCATCCAGAAACCTCCAGAAGATCATTGTAAATTATCCTCCGGTAGATAAAACACCTTGCAACAGCAGTCCTATGTCCTCTTCCTCGCCACAATTGGCTAATGGTGAAGCCACAATAACTGGAAGTAGCCTGGACTGGAGAAGCCGCTTGAGAAGGAGCTCCACTCAACCTAAAACCCATTTCTTTCCACATGCATGGAAAAAAATACTCTCGAAATCAGCTGCAGGAGCAGCAACAGCACACCCCTTGCCCGGAGTTAACGAAGTGCCGTCGTACTTTGCTATACCACAAGCGCAGTCGTTGAAAACTGCCTCAAGTGATGTAGAAGCTATGCATCAAATTATCCACGCTCACAACGCCACATCCACTGACCTCGCTGGCATCTCCTAAGTTGTGTAAATTTCTCGTAGAAGAACAAAGAGAATCAAAGCAAAAGAGCAGTTATTTGAGACCCCCTTCTCCTTCAATCATTAACCGCATTTTTGGATAGCACCCACAACTGCGCACACGTACACAGCCCCTCCTCCAAGTAGACACTATTTTTTGTTTCTCCTTTACTCCCGTCATGATGTGAAGAAGGAATACCTTAGAAAACACGCACAAAATGATGCAGTGGCTGACGCACGAAATAAGATACCATTTATATTGCAGTATGCTAACCACGAAGTAACGATTCTTACCCAACACTCTCCATCACAGCATGTGCATACACAACAGATGAAAGAGATGACGCGTTTATCCAGCCTTGCTTTATTTCCGAGTATAAAAAGGGTGGGTGACCTGAGAGACGACCTCACTGATCTACTGAACAGACTGTCTGATGATAGGTCTCTACTCGACTGCACCATGCCTGAAAGTAGTGTTCCAAAGCCTCTTCATCGAGAACCAACACATCTGCGGGATAACCATCCGCGTAGGCGTACGCTATCAAACCTTGGCGAACCTTTGGAAGAGGATTAGAAAATATGAAGCAGACCAACAAATAAGCCAATCAACAACATGGCTGCTTTGGACTCTAGAGGAATCTTGATTGCCGTTGGGCTAACTGCGCTGGCAGTGCAAAATCAGCTTTCTGCTTTAATCAACAGATAAGCTTAAGACTCCCATCACACATAACCAGCTACTAGTTTCTCAGTGATGGGCTAAACTATGGAGAGCTAATGCTATTCTGAGAATGAGCGACAACAATACAGCCTAACAAACTTGAATACTACAGCGGCAGCTTCATAGCTTAGAAACTTCCGATGCGGGCTTGCTCTGCTCGGTAAACGTCATCCAAGGCAAAGTCAATTAGATGCTATCAAGATAGCAATCGCCACCAGGTGGAATAAATTTTGCCTGGAAGAATAGACCAGAAATAATGCATAGGCACAATGAAGCATCAGTATCCATAACAGTGATTTGGTTTATTGCATCTCAAGCTATAAGCAGCACAAATGAGTGAAGTAGTGCAAAATTTTGGGCATGAGGAACTAATAGAATTGTAAGGTGACTTCCGAAGAATGATTGGATGTTGATATGAGCAGATACCGGATTTATGAACTAAGTGTAGGACCAAAGAGATATGATTAACGGCTGCTCTTTCCGCTTTAGTGAATATTCCGATTCAAGATATGGACAGGATTCACCCTTACGATTGAACAAAAAAGGGAAGCCCACCTACTCAGCTACAGTGAAAGCAGTCGCTCTTGCCAAACATGGTTTGGGGACAGTTAAGTTCAAACCGTCCACGCGACCTATCGAGAAGGCGAAAGTTATCGGAACTGAGCCCCACATTTGTCAAACAAAACCTTTCTGTAGTGTCTCATTCTTTTGAAACCAGTAAGTATGCATGGAAATGATGCAAGCTACTCACAAGCTACACATATTCCCCAAAAAATACCATAAATGTGGAGAGATCGAGTCCCTAAAATGGTAATGAATGCCCAGTGTCTGAGCTTAGCAAAAGTTATACGCGAAGCAATTAATGAGCCTGAATATCTCTAAAGTCCATTGGCTGGAATCAGAACATGAAACACAAAAGAATCTATGGAAATGAGATTCCTATGCTTGTCAATACATAAGTCCTAAAACACTAGAGAGGTAATTTCGATGTTAATGAAATGTGATATCGACTGATTATCGAGATAGGTGGAAAGTTGTAAAATTCCATTTAGACCGACTTTACGCCCTGATGGTTCTCAATAGTCATCCATTTTAAGAGTACCATCCTAGATTTTCATTAGCCTATACTTAAATGTGTACCAAAAAGTGGAAGGGGACAGAGCCGCTGAGCCCCAAACTCGGCGAGGCAAACACCGCGTCAAGACTACCTGAGGCATTTCAGGCAAGCGCGTAATATTGTAGGCGGCGGCGTAGGCAGCAACCTGCAGAGGCGCGTCGTAGGCCTTTTCCAGACACGTCACACGCTTACTCTCGTGCACTGTCTTCCACTCTGTCAGCACCAAGCCATTGCTCTCCGTCCTATAGTAGGGTAGGTAGAAGGAATAGACTCACTAAAAAAATATGATTCGATTCATAGTGAATGGGATTTCAGATGAATTTGTGCAAACAGAATCACATGACGCATCCATACAGTAAAGTTAAGTAGGTATTAATCGTAAATGGCTAAATTTCGTAAGCTGGATTTAAGCCAATCCAATACACACTGATAAAAATCACCTTTGAATTCATGCAAACAATCTAATAAAGGACATTCATAGAAGTTAAAGTATTAAAAAGTCCATGTGGGAAGTGAAAGAGTCGCTACAAGCTTGGTAAGGCTCGATCACCAAGACGTAGATGAATGCGGTCCAGTTTGAAAAATACTTCCATTGGGGAAGTATTCGATGTTCAACTGTCTTTTGGAGCAAGTACTTTCAATGACCAAAGTTAGTTTAGGGGCAAATGACGTTCAAGAAAACAAGCTACACGCTAAAAGCCGGGTTGGTAGACGATCTCCTTTTGAATAGATGAGTTAAAAGTGTTCACCAACACGAACGAAAGCGATATTCTACAGCTGGCGATCACTCACTTAAAGCTGTTTATACTGTCAAATCGACCCCTGTAACGCAGGATTGGGTGACAGCATTCCTGCTCCACTAGCTGAGTTGCTTTCACATGGGCGAAGATAGTCTCTAAACTGTTTATGTAGCCATCAATCGGTTCCGCGAACTCCCCAACTCGTTTCTCATTATGAAGAATATCACATATCGCTTGGTGCACGTCTTTACCGACGCCCTTTATATCTTAAACGACAAACAAGGGAAGGATGAGTAAACTTAGGATTACTTACGAAGGGAAAAAACGGCATTGTAAACGACAACTGAATCAAGTACTAAGGAGAGCATTTAATGTGAACCAATAAAGTTGAAAAACCATTAAAGCAGGTACACAATTCTAGTCAGTGATATAGAAGGTTTGTAAAACCTAAAGAAAATTTACAACTGACAGGCAACATATTCGTTAAACTTTTGCTCGCCCATTTGCTTTCGCATTTTTTCCTGCCACTTGCGAAGAATGATAACGTTTTCCACAGGCATAGTCCTACTAATTATGGTTGAGACTGTGGGAAATTTTTTTGAGATGGGACCCAAATCCTCTCGGAGAACAGGAACGGGACCATCGAAGACGGAGATTAGGCGGACGATGCGGTGTTCCAATAGATAGCTGGCAACCCGGAGCCCAGACTTGAAACAAATTAGCATTATACTGGTCGACTCTAAAGCATTCCAAACGCAGCAATAAGAACTTGTCCGACAGGTTAACCAGAGCAAAAGTCACTGATATACTAAGAGGATCCAAGAATGCTAATAACGCACATCAACAGATGACAACAATAATTATAACTTAGAGCGCAGATCTAAGCTGGTTCACGAAATGAAGGACATAAAGTCAGGAGGATCAATTAGATAGGTTTTACTAAACTGAATGGGCAATCTGGCATCGGATACGGACTCATTGAAACGAAAAACAGGTTAAAGCATCGAATGACATCAATAAGAAGCCATAACCCAGAAAAATGAAAGGTCTCATGATTCAATTAGCAACTACATTTAATAAAGAAATAAGTTTTTAAAGGAATCCGACCACGTTGGATGAAAAACAGGGGCTATTGATCCATTGAACAAAGTTATGGTGCTGCAAAACCCCGAACTAAGACGAAACAATAGTTCAAACGTTGAGCAAGCCTCCGGATCCATGAAAAGTCTCCTTTTGAACTGAGAAACCACCACCAACCCATGAAACGCAGACTAGGATAAGCAGTTCTTTATTTAGCCAATCATCGTACAGATTTCTTATGTCACGGACTGCAAAGGTCGAATTATATTTGATTACAATACTTAAACAAACAACTTATTTTCCATTATCCAAGCTATGCAACCTGAAATTATATTTTAAAGTTGATTGAATCTGTAGAAAATATAGTGAATGTCGGTCATATACTTGTGTTAAGTACGATAAAATTAAGGCTTCATTTAAGTCATGCACACGTCGGGCGGACACTTAATTTTAGCCGCTAAGTGGATCTCAGCTTAAGCCAATTAGGTGCAAGGTTTTGCTACCATGCTTCGAAAGTCTCCGCCACTTGTTTATGTGCCTATGCATTCATAAATGCATGTGTGTAATGCTTGCACTACCTGTATGAGTGGTACATAGTTTAAAAACCACATTTTTTTCAATTCTGCTTCACCTTAAGCATCTAGCCTGATCTTATGTCTTGTGCTGCCTAATATGGTGTCTTGGGACTGCACAACCTTTGTATTTCTCTCCATCAAACAAGGCAAACTCTCATATGATTTAATTGTAATTTTAGTTTGTATTTATGTGGACTACATACGTTCCGGTCGAATGGAAAGTGGATGTGCTTTTAGCATTTTCTTGAGGAGATAAAGCCCCTCAAATGACCAGCACTAATACCGGCACTCAGGCAAAGAAAACTTTACATTATTCATCGCTGGATACATGCTTGCTTGTTTTAACTAAAACACTTGAAAAGATCTATGATGTTATAGGTAGCTTGCCTGTTTATAGGGTTCCTGCCACACATTTTGAAATGGTTTTTCCAGTGCTCTTTATGTGCATGACAGCTTTCAAATGGTTTATGGTTGTTCATATTCTGTTTACAAACTAAAACGAAAGCATTCGGTAGTTGCATTCTCTCATACCTCTGTAAAGATATAATCTTTTAGTTAGCTCGTGTATGGAGGAAAGCTACCTGCAGAATCACCCCCAATAAGTTGAGATTTTAGTTAAGTTTTGTAGAGATAAACTAGTCGACACTAATCCAAAATTCTCTCTGTGATTAAATTGCATCCTACCCAAGTAGGTTTTGAGGTTGTTACCCGATCTCGAGCACGTTTCTGTTTTCGCAATTTGCGATGCTAAAGATGTGGTAGTGAAGAGAATGCTTAAATCGCTTGATCTGGGTGGTTTTCTTGTCTTCCACATACGGCTATCGCCGTAGAAAGGGTATGTAAAATGGCACTGATTCCTTGGTCGAATCATACTGTTTTGGTTTTTTTCGTCACATTGATGGCCCTTCACCATCTCAATGGCAGTGCGAATCGCCCTAAAAGAAATCGACGTGGAGTGGAGTCTCAGGATGTAGAGATAGGGGGACGTCTCAGACACAGATGGTCAAATAATGGTAGTTTTTTGGATGTTATCGATACTTGGATCTTCCATCTTGGAATAAGTTTTTATTTACAAATGAACAAATCAAAATTAGAAAATAACCGTATTGCTATTGGGTATGAAATTGTAACGAAAAAAATTTTTTAAACTTGACTATCAATAGACTTTTAAGTTCCGAGAAATGGAAGAACACCTGGTGCAGGCAGCTGTGTTCAATCCGTCTGCATAGGACGGAAAAGGAGTTGTCCTTTTATTAAGATGAAGACCACTATTTAACCAGCCTTTTTCCTTTGAATTTACGCAATGGTGTGCAATTCGTTCCCTTTGTCCATGTGGTCGCGAATGTACTAAGATCGTACAAATTTGTTCACTGACTTGACGTCTTCCACAGTCGAAATATCTTCAAAGTACGGCAAAAGAAGTTGTCAATGCAAATAAGAATTTCGGAGAGAAAAGTTGATGAAATTATTCTTATCTCTACATTTTGCTATACATCACATAACGTCCCAGCGAATAGCTCATGCTTCGAACTACCTGTCTCATTGATGACCGGGAGTGTTAAAATCCATCCTTTTCATCGGTGTGTTTTGGGGAGGAGAAACTGAGTAGTTTGGCAAAAAACATGTAAAAGTCAATTTGCTCCTTCATATTTTAATTGGTGGGGCGAAGGGCTACGCTCGTGTAGAAGTCCTCAGTCTAAGAACATTGCAACCCTCAAGCAAGGCGGTGTGAAATTTCTATTGTGACGGGCTTATGAGGAGAGCAAAAGTCTCGCATTCATAACTAGGGTTCCAGACTGCAAACGTACAGTTGTTTTGTCCCGAGGTTTGTGCTTTAAATGTTTTTGTCATAGAAAATCTTATAAGTAATACTCCATGGCTAATTGATTGTCTACGACCAGCATGTTAGGCATATTTATTGTTTGTCGAAATTTGAGATCTTAGAAAAAAATTCATTGAGCACTTAATGCACAATATTCTCACTTTCCTTTAGCTTTTAACCTACTTGTTGCCATATTGGGATTTTTCAAAAGTTAACAAATGAAGGAAAAAACTATTTGCATCAATTTCAAATGCGTTGCGATGGTGGTTGGTTTAAATCATTACTGCTGGCCCGATGTGATACACTGGGAGAAGGGCTGCGGTAAATCCTCAATTCATTCACCATCCATCTTAACATTTGGTATGCCAAATGGAAAGGAATGAGGTAGTAGCTTCTATCCCATTCCAAAGCCAAAACTAAGGAACATTCCTTTCCTTTTTCCTTAAATGATGCGCACATGTGCCCTATGGAAAAATGAATCTACCATGAAAATAAACAAATGAAACATTTAGTGGTTGGTTGAGAGTTTAAGACAAGTCACTTTCTCGGTAAATGCTCATATTTAGTTCTAAAAGTCTGACGTGCACGTGGATTCCGACTTTACTTGAAGGGTTAAAAGTCTTTAAACTGCTGTAGTGCTTTGTTTCTTTCACCTCTTTGTCGCCTTTTTGCTGATGTTTAAAGGCACAGCCTCTAGATTGTGTAGCAATGCCTCAGCCCTTCTCAACATCGACGGCACATGTGCCGTTCCAGCACTGCGCCTTCTTATTTCCTCGGGAAGGACCAAAAGCCTGCATGCAGAGCTTGCCTTTATGCCTTTTAAATCCAGCTTAGACAGCAAGTGCCTTCAATATAAATAGTCAACTTTTTGAAGAAATCTGGACGACTTGATTGTACCGAACTCGTGCGAAATGCCTCTCAGTTAGTGCTTGTTAGGTCATCGAAGCACAGACGTTATTGTTAAGACAGTCATTTCCCATGTTTCCCATGTTTGTGTCCAGATTTGTACGCTCAGGTACTTGATTCAAATAAAAAAAAGCTTGATTGAGTGTTGATGTTAGAGCGTCTTAATCCTGACTAAATATGGTTGTCAATTCGCCTAATGAATTGAAATTAGGTCTTTTGTTCCAAAATATACTTCCTTTCCAACTTGAATTATTGCCTTAACAAATGTATTTTGTGTGTGCTAGCTGGTGGGCCTCTCGGGTTTTTGTGATGATAACGGAGGCACGTGGGCGAGCAGCTGTCAGATAACGTCCAACAAAGTGTAGCGCCTCATTTCATGCGACAACCTTGGTTTTGTAGTTTTGTCCGCCATTCTTTTTGCCAAACTTAAGAGATAAATGCTGTGTCTTTTCGAGAATTCTGACTACTTGCTTACTCCTAACTATTTGTGCATTTAAAAACTTACTTTATTACATCCGCATGTGGGGACAGAGAGGCACTTTAATATCTTAATCCAACTTGGATATCCCCAACTCTGTCGACTCCTGTCTAAGCGCAATTTTATGCTTGCAGTAAAAAAGTTGAGCGTTTACAAACGATAGAAGGGAAGAGCTTCCCTTCGGAGGCGCCTAAGATTTGCGTTATCTATGAAGTGGCCTTGCGACTCCGACAAAGAGGCGGCCTTTGGATGTCAACAAGACGAAAGCGTACCGAGGGGGCAAAGCCAGCATCGGCTCATGGTCGAGGGGTGGTGCTGGTGCTGGTGGTGAAGTGAGTCAGCAGCATCTTTTTTGCATAAAAAATAAAGCTGAAGCTACTTTGCCTGAGTTAATGGTTTACCATCAAGACGGCTAATTTGATGGCATACTGAGAATATCTACTGAATTGACCACAGAGATTTAGCGTGTTTAATTATTTTTCCTCCGAATTAATTTCTTTACATCCAAATTAACTTATTGGCGTGATTTTTCAACCACAGCCTAGACATCACCATCGTGGGGCGGAAGTGAAAGCTGGGGCGGGTTTACCTTTGCTACTATAATTAAAGTGTTTGGTTTAAATAAACTCGAGTGAAGGATTGTTGATGGCCAGTCCCTATAGGAAGAGGATGGTCTCGCACTGTCATGAAGGATCGTACAATGCCCTGTATAGATAAAATATTAAATGTAGGCTGGATTTTCGGACGCGATAAAGACGCAATAACCAGTTTTTTAATCTTACATGGTAATAGTTTTCTTGGTGAGAAAAATCGACTTGGCACAATCAGTACTCGACGAAGCCATACGAGATAAGCCGACAATAT